CAGGATTCGAACTCAGGATCTATTAATCTCACGCACGAGCGCTTAATCACTAGACCACTGAGCCTGGATTTCGAATTTCGCGAGGTAGGATCGTAGATGCGCACTGCTCAGGAGTTCTATATACTAGGATGAAATAGCCATCCAGTGCTTCCAGGTATTTTTTATAATGGTCTAACTTCAAATGACTCATGATTTCAACTATGAAAAATTTACTATAATATCCACAAAATCCATTCTGATGTTATACTCTATAATTTGAAACTTTGATAATATTTTAATTAACCGACTCAAACTGTTATCAGAAGAGGTTTTGTGGAGATTGTAGTAATTTCAATAGTTAAGATCATGAGTCAATTGAAGTTAGACCACCACCATCAAAAACTTGGAAGCACTGGACGGCCGTTTCGTCCTAGTACGGAACTCCTCAGTGAAAGTGCGCATTCACGACCTCGCCCCCTGTGAGATTCTTGAATTCAATACATCAAACCTGGTAACATGGCTAGTTGTGATATTACACTATGTTATACTGATCATACTGCTATGTGTTTAGTAAATCACAGTGTGCAGATTGATATGTTAACCAGAATTACTGTGACAGGTTTCCTATGCTAGAGATATATCGAAACTTTGGTTAATATTTCTGTTACTGTTAGACACTTTAAGCAAGATAATTTTATAAAAGAGCTTTCATTGTTACTCTAGACGTTATCAGAGATTAGTGTAGAAGTGAATTCTTTATTCACTCCATGAACTGAAACTATCAGTAAAATAACACGGTATATTATCATTGAAATCGATTTATCTAGACGATTACAGATGTCAGTCAGTCAGTCAGTCAGCTGCAACGTAGGACCAGGCACGTATATGCATCGGTCCAAGTTGCCATACCGCATTAGCACAACAAGATCAACACCGGATTCATAGAAGTAGTTAATTCAGTGGTGGTAATATATAGAAGAAAGAGTGTGTATAAGGAGATACTAAAGGAAGAAAGAATTAGTTCCTAGACAGATATGAAGCGATTTTAATCTCTTAATTTAAGGAAGACAGAGACTGTATACACCGACGCCATTGTGATCGATTCTGAGCCATGTCACCAAGAGTCTCCAACCATTGGTTACGATAGTCACGCGGACCCCAACCAGGCAGTCTGCATCTACCAACATGGCTCAAACCAGAAGTTAGTGACTTCAAGCACTGATGCCACGTTTTGGTTTGGCCGCCCCTAACTTTCTTCCAATTATCCCCTGCACTAGTCAGCATTGCGCGTCATGGTAATCGGTGTTCAGGCATACGCAACACGTGGCCCAACCATCTCAGTCGATGAAGATTCATAACCTCATCAACTGATTTACCATCATTCCCTAATACCCTGCGTCTAACCTCACTATTACTTACCCGGTGATCCCATCAGATACCCGCAATATTTCTAAGGCACCTGTGGTCAAATACTAGTAACTTACGAATATCTTCCACTCTTAAAGGCCATGTTTCGCAGCCGTATAGAAGGACGGAACGAACTGCCGCGCAGTATACTCGTCCCTTAATTGATAGACGGATATCTCGCCTTTGCCATAGATGACGTAAGTTGGCAAAGGCCAAGCGAGCTTTTCGAATCCGTGCTGAGATTTCGTCAGACACCAACCCATTATGGATGATCATACTTCCAAGATAAGTGAAGTTGTCAACGCGTTCGACTACTTCACCCCCTATCCTTAGTTCAGGTGTTGATGTGAATTTGACGAATACACTTGAAATTCTGAGTTGAGGAAATTTTAAGAAAAGTCATAGATTTTATATGAACTATCATAGACTTTAAAGAAATAACTATTCTATTTAAATATTTGTTTATACATCAACGATCCTATTGGCAATCGAATCAATGGACATTGATCTCACAGAGAGAGAGTTCAACATTTACACCACTGAGCTAAGATACAATAGTGTACATGCTTAAAGACAATCAATCTGAGATAGTGTGAAATCATCTTTTATTAACAGAGATAGATAACTATCTCATACCTGATATGGTTGAAATCGATCAGTTAAGGATTCTCATTGGAACTCTTGAAACTATATATCAACAATTGAGTTTAAGATTAAAGCAATTGTTCGAAAGGTTAATTAGGTACATTAATCAACTTTACTCCCATTAACTGAAATATAATTCAATCTTAATTCATTAATTTGTCTTTACATATAGACAAATTCACTAATAACCATATCATAATAGAAATATGAAATAGATATGGCCTATAGTAATAAATGTTTGAAATAATAGAATATTATTATGATTGTTTTAATTCAATAAGGTATGATTCTTTATTTAATTGATTTAAAGAAGAAATTAATTGTTATTTTCAAACCCACATTGATATCATTCATTGATTCATCAATAGTGACTAAAATCATGTTTGTCTAGTTGTCAAGTACCTACCAGATTTTGTTGATCAGATAACAACCTGGATACTAGTATTGTAGTGAACAAGAACACCAGTGGGGAACAATCGAATGTATTTGACAGCACATTACGGAACCTGTTTATAAAATCCAACAACCACATAGTGAATGATCAATTTGCAAAATGACCATCAATTATCTGAAAATGGCCCACACTTCGTTGTTCTTGTATTTCCATACAAATTGCATTCTCATTCCACTCCTCACTGTTCGATCCTCTTGTCTCTCTGCTGTCACACATTCTGCTCCTCACTAACGTCATATACTACTTATGTCAATATAAGTAGCTCACAGCACAAATCACTTACATCCTTCCAACTGCAGTCATGTTTCACTCACTAGAATGCACACAGCTCATTCTTCACTGTCAACTGACTGCAGTCTCCTCTGTTTCATGTGAGATGCGGATTGTGGTGGATGCACTTCGTAGTACACTGAGCATTGATTGATCGACCGAGAAATGCGTGAATCAATGCTTGATTGTGATCATTCCATTCATCTCACGAAATCTTCTCACAACCACACTCATCTATCCTCATCTCACTAGATACACATCACACACCCTCATATACTACTCAGTTCGTCATCAAAACCTACTCACTAGACTGCAACACCAATAGTCAAATTGTAGTGAACAATCCAATGCTTCTGACAACAAATTACAGAACCTGTTAATAAAATCCAACAACCATATAGTAAATACTCAATTTGCAAAATGACCATCAATTGCCTGAAAATGGCCCACACTTCATTGTTCTTGTATTTCCATACAAATTGCATTCTGATTCCACTCCTCACTGTTCGATCCTCTTGTCTCTCTGCTGCCACACATTCTGTTCACGAATAACATCATATACTACTTATGTTTACATAAGTAGTATACATCACAGTATGAGTGACTTAACATCATAAACACTATTTTGACATGTTATGTGTTTGAGACTAATCTACAGGAAACCCTGTTTCACATAAAGAAACTGTAGTTCATGCCTTAATTATTGAATTATTGAAAATAAAATATTGATTTATCAATTAATAATTGATTAAACTAAAGATATAAACTTACAAAGACAATCAGATATATCGATTTCTGTTTCAGAGTTTTGATCACAAAAATTACAAACATCATGAATTGAAGAATTTGAACAACATTCATTCATAGAAATTTGTTCACTTAATACACATCGTCTAAAAATATAAAACAAAGTTTACTGTACATTATTATTCTTTTTCTTTTTTTTTTTTCTATCCATGGTTACAATAATATAAGTATAATTGGCGAGACTCTAATTTAGGGACGAGCCAATCAGAAGCGTGTAAGCCGTTTCAAGGTCACGGAGCCAAGTTTAACACCTAATGCTCACATATGATCGGTTTACAGCGGATTTTAGAGAAGGGGTGATTATTGAGAGGCTAACAAGGGATGGGATAACTAAAAAGTTCTTGTACGTGAGACTGCGGTTATCAAATGACCGCAGTAAAGTGTGCAAACCACCATGGTGAGATTATATTGCGTTGTCCTTCATGTTGGAGGAGAAAGTCTGCTAAAACGAGGACTTTCTTTGCTCGATTGCTACTGAAACTGAATCAGATTATGATAATAGTTGCAAATTAAGTAATAAATACACCAGTAACACTGGATGCGGCGTTTGTAGTTGTTTATGAAACTTCAGCAGTCCAGTGGTATAAGTACTGCCGTGACATATGTGCAACTAAAATAACACGTATACACCAATCATTCGGAGGAGTAGGATGTATCGTGCAGACAGATGAAACGGCAGTGAGAAAGCGAAAATACAACAGGGGACGTAGTATAAAGTAGGATTGTGTAAGTAGCATTTCCGTGAATATACTCTAGCATAAGACTAGTAACAATCATAGTGACTCACTAATAACTATAGATCATAGTTTTAAATAGTGCTATTTTAGTCTAATACTTAATATTTGTCCTAACGTGCAAATACATCTTACTAATAAATTCCAACCAAAAGGAAACTGACTTCAGACTTCCTACTAGAGCTATGTAAATATCCAACACTTGATACAATTGAAATTTCAAATATAACTGGACCCACTTCCTATAAGTAACAGGATAAGCCTTGCCTTTTTGTCATGAAAAAACTGACAGCGACCAAAAACCAGTAGAAAAATCATGTAAGATTAAACCATTACTTCATCTTCATATTGAGCTCGTAAGAAGTTTGTACTTGACTTCAAGTATGATAGAATCTTAGCGAATTACCCTATGGAATAAAAGTGGGATAAATGCCTTTCCGTTTGCCACAATATACGATAATACGACCGGTAGTCGACATTCCATCACGACCGGATACTCTATCAATGTGCTATACATAGTCTGGATTACGTTATAACAATTACCAATTGTTAGAAGAGTAAGATGGAAACGTTTTTGTCAGTTGACTTTCAATTCATCATTTCCTCAAGAAATAACTGAAGTTTAAATCTATCCTACCAATAGGTTAAATAAAGGTCAACGTTGGTTACCGTTGCATTTTCACTGCATTTCTATGCTTCACAACATGGCTGGAGTTCCTGTTCTGTGTGAAGCAAACTTGTCAGAAGAAAAGCAAACGTTAGTGGAAAATAACGATCTTCGGCTGCCACTAACTGGCAGAGCTTTATCAGCAGATAATCATTTGTTAATACCTACTTTACCAATATTGTTAGATGTATTTCAACTAGTTAACTTCAATCAACGATCTGGACGCGTTTCAAATGCTCCTTTAGATTTACGCTTGTTGCTTCACTTCACACCTAGTCAACTACGTGAAACCGCATCAAATGATGCCATTATTAGTTGGCTATTTGATTTATTAGCAGAATGTATGGCATTGCATGCAAATTCAATTGTTTTTCCAGAGTATTCATTGCCTTTTATCACTGAAGTGAGTCTGTGAAGTATCGCTTTATTTGAAGAATTTATGTATATATTTCGGTGGTGTTAAGTTCTTTGAGCTAGGTAGTTTAATTGTTGAGCATTTATCTTCATCTTATGCATGAAGTAGGCGCTGAAAATGACAATGAATGCTCAGTAGTTAAACTACTTTGCTCAGAGAATTTAACACCACCAAAAGTATCCACCAGAGCCACAAATTTTCATCGTATCCTGGATATGTGTAATCAGTCATAATCAACGTTAGACTTAAAATAACTGGGTATTGACCGAAGTTGATTCATCAAACCAATATAGCAATATAAAATTAATATGATAACAGGGATTCATATTATTTATTTATTTATTTTAACACATAAGTATAGGTATAGGGAAGCACCAAATACATATGCGCCACACAAATCTCAATTGATATGTGTGAGAGCCGTGATACTGCCCGGATGTCCAAACCGAAGCAGATGGTTTCCTTAGGGGGGCCACACCCCGAACCTTCGACCTGAAGATCTGATCCACAAGGCAGTGAAGCATCGTGAGGAGATGCAGTCCTATGGTAGCCAGCCGGCGACCAACGATTGGTTCATAGGCCATTTGTTCCTTCAGGATACTGGAGCTAACCGATGTTCACCATTGATTTGGGATCCGGTTAAAGCGCCTGACATTCGCTTTTCGTTCTCTCATTTTCGTAAACAACACCCGTGGTGCGAGAAGGCAGTAAGTAGGACTTCCCTGACAGAGGCTGTATACGTGTGGCCATATGAGAGCATTTCGAGAGGGAGAGCGGACTCTCTCCATTCTCGGCTGTACCAGGGCATTTGGGGGCTAACAGGGATTCCATCATATGTGAACAACTTTACGAAGACACAATTAAATACTAGTAACCTCTATAGATCTCTACTTTAAAAGGCCACGTTTCCTAACCATAAAGTAAAACCAAGCAATTTCATGTTTAGTGTATCAGTTCTTTAATGAACAGATATCTCACTCACACCGAAAATATATATTCGTATAAGGGTTAGTTATCTTACCAAACTTCTCGAACCTTAGTAGGTAAAATGGGATTCAAGTTCATTGGTTGTAACTATGATGTAAGTCAACTCCACAAAACACTAGAAGCGTTACTCAGTATTCAAAACTCCGATTTGTGACGTTCTCACTTTATATCTCTATGACCGAAATCGAATGTTTAAATCACCATTTCACAGCTATACCATCATAAAGATTGATGTAGCTATACTACAAACTGTGTCTTAATGCGGTATGGCAACTTATTTATTTATTTATTTGAACACATAAATATTGGTACAGGGGAGCACCAAATATATATGCGCCACACAACTTGGACCGATGCATATATGTGCCTGGTCCTACGTTGTAGCTGACTGACTGGCTAACTAATAACTTGAGATAATTATTTATAACTGAACGAATATTGTAGAAGTTGAAGCTACTTTTTCCCATTATTGTTAGCTATAGCTACGACATACCACATTATACAATGTTCATTCTATTTATTTATTTTAGGTAAAACAATTCTTACATGTTTGTCGTGTAGCCAGTTTTTGTAGACAAATGAAAGCTTTAATGATTAAAGTACGCGAACATTCAGAATGGATTATTAAATGTCGAAGGCGTGTTCGGAATTTAGCTAGTAAGAATGAAATAGTAAGTAAATTAGTTCATTGTTGGTAATGATAATTTTGTTAACCGATGTTCCCAGTTTTTGTGTCAGGTTAATTGTTACTAGCAATAAAGTTTAATACTTTTAATCTGGGATTGACTGATCAACTGGTTCTACATGGACCTCAGGACTGTTGTCCATAGTGTATACTTTAAATAATTTTTGATGAAATTGTCGTATTCAAGAAACACTCACAGGACCTACGCGTTCCAAAAACGACTGATCACAACCCAGTTCCGCGTTTCTATACAGGGATAACTCAAACCTTTACCAATAATAATATATGTAATAACACGTTTGGCAACTGAAAGTCGATAGTGCATTGTCCCTGTTGCTGAGAACTCTCATTCGTTAGCATGTTTTAATAATGAAGAATGAAATGATTTCAGCACAATAACTGTGACAGTGTAAATTACATTTACATCATCAGTACAGGAAAAAACATCCCATATATTAGGTTCCTTTCAATTAGTTCATATTATCGGGATATGTCCGGCAAAGGTGAATTACGTAAGATAATTCGAAACATTCGAGGTGGAAATCCGGTAAGGTTGTAGGTTTGCGCCAATTATAGTGTTAACAATCTACCCACACTTGCTTCATGTGGTAACCCACCGGAAAATGATTAAAAAGTTTGTGTATCTGGGTAGCTTTTTGAGTATGTTACCAGTGTTGGAGTTTAAATCAATCAACTTATTATTAGAGTAAATGTAAATAATACAAATCCTCTTCATATATATGGCGCTGTTACAATGTCAATTCTAACTCGGGTCACTTAGTTGTTATGTAGCCTCTCAAAAATAAAGATACCCAGCAATTTTGTGTCTGGTTAATGTTGTCTCCAAATCACTACTCATAACCGGTGAAATTACCTCTTTATTAATGCCAGCAGTGTGTTTGGGGACAATGAAAATAATAATTATATTAAGAAGCCTATAAAAATTGTTACGACTTTATCTTTGTATTTGGTTTCTCTTATGTTTTTCACTAGCTGAACATTGAGTCGACGTGTACTTTTATTGATAATTCAAACAAACTTCTACCATTTTGGCAATTCTATGTACAACACAAACAAATTCGTTTTAACGAGTTGAATCGCTTAACTGAGAGTAATAAAAAGGAAGTGAGTAACTCTGTTTGTATCATCTAATTTTTCTGTGATATCGTTGGTTTCTTCTATAGAGAAAAAGGTTAATTACTAGGCCTTATGTGCAAATCTAATATGTGAATCCAGGCAAGTTAATGGAAGTAGCAGGTAAGCACAGGATTCGATTAAAAGCAGATTTGGATGGTGGCTAGCATTGGGATCCAGGACACATGTTGCGTCCCGTCTTGGACTTGTCGACTAGATGTACCTGCATTCCATAGTTGATGTCCACTTCAGGACTCGAACTCAGTACCGTCCGCTTCGAACTCCGTCTCTCCATCCACTTAAATATTAAGTCCAGATAGTCATTGGCTTGTGCAGTAGGTAGAATTTAAATTCATTTGTATTGGTTTTTTGAATCTTCCCATTGATGTTTAGAACTGCAATTGATCAGTCCCTTTTGGTTTATGTCCATCCAGTCCTAATTGTCTCTATATTGCTATTAAGTCACAAGCATAATAATCAGAGTTGGATGGTGGCTAGTAGTAGAATTCAGGACCTGCCTTCACCCCACTGCACAAGATATTAGCTGTGGGATGCAAGTATATCCGGCTGACGGGTCTCGTTGAGGACGAAAGTGCGTCTTGCATTCTACTTTTAGTCCGTATCAAACTCTGCTTGTAATGCTTATAACTTAATGTAAGTATCAAGGTAATCTGCACTGGATGCGCATATACCAAAAGCGACTGGTCAATTGCAACCCTAAACATCAACAGGAAGATTCAAACAACTAACACAAATGAAAAGATATTAATATTCTATTTTTAATTGAGACCTAATCAATGTTTGTAACTCTTAGCTCTATCGGTAAAGTAATGAAATGATTACCTGATTCGAGTTCTTCAGAGATTTGACTTTCTTCCTAAATCTTTCTTTCAATCAATACTATTTCTCATGTAGAAGGATATTACTTGGTATTCCCAATTTTATGTTTGGCAGAATAACACGCTTATATACAAAATATTAGGCACAAAAATAAACATCGATTAGATATCATTTGATAAATAAGCGATCGGATATTATGAATTCTGTAAGTAAACTCATTCACCAATAGAATTAAGATCTAACTGTTAGGATTCCCCCCAAATGCCCTGGTACGGCCGAAAGTGGGGAGAGTCCGCTACCCCTCTCGAAATGCTCTCACATGGTCACGCAATATCTCAGCCTTCACACAAATCAAGTGACATTTGTGTGGCGTATGTGTATCTGGTGCCCCCTTTTATCAATTTTACATGTTCAAATAATAAATAATAATAATAATAACTGTTAGGATTAATTCTTACCTACCATATTAATGTTGGACAATAAGCAATAGGTCTTTGGTATTTGATTATAGACACTTTTTTGTGCATGATGTAGTGCTGATACTAGAGACTAACCAGACAATTGTGGGTCAAACGATTGAATTTCGAACCGTCATCTACTTAGTAGCTTGTCTACAACTCTTTAAGACCGCACACTCCTGGCCTTTATAACGGATTATGCAGTAAGCATGTTTTCAGTCAGTTGCAAAGTTGATATGCGATGTAACATTTCCTACTTTTATCAATTCAGAATATCACGTAGTTCCACTGAAAGGACATCCCAGATTGGTTAGTTCTTCATAAAACACTATCTAATTGTCATAACTTAGATGTTATCCTACTTTCCCAGTTTTCGTGTCATTTTTAGGGAATAAGGGTTCTGTATGACAGAAACATACTTAAGACTACTTGTCTTGTGTATGGAGTGCGTAGATAATCCTATGTTCTGCGCAGTGATCTGACTCGAGATATCTATTCAGTTCTGTTTGTGACTGGTTAAATAAATGTAATTGGATTCCGGTGTTTATGTTCTCGGTGAAGCTTAAACTTATTACTGTATTTATTTATTTATTTTAACACATAAGTATAGGTACAGGGAGGCACCAAATACATATGCGCCACACAAATCTCAATTGATTTGTGTGAGGGCTGTGATACTGCCCGGGTGCCCAAACCGAAGCAGATGGTTTTCTTAGGGGGCCACACCCCGAGCCTTTGACCTGAACGTCTGATCCACAAGGCAGTGGAGCATCGTAAGGAGATGCAGTCCCATGGTAGCCGGTGACCAACGATTGGTTCATACGCCATTTGTCCCTTCAGGATACTGGAGCCCATGTGCACCATTGGTTTGGGGTCCGGTTAAAGCGCCAGACATTCGCTTTTCGTCCTCTCATTTTTGTAAACAACACCCCCGCCACGAGAAGGCAGTGAGTAGGACTTCCGTGGCAGAGGCTATATACGCATGGCCATGTGAGAGCATTTCGAGAGGGAGAGCGGACTCTCCCCACTCTCGGCCGTACCAGGGCATTTGGGGGCTATTACTGTATCTTCAAGCACGATTATTTATCTATTGGTATTTCATTTGCCCACTACTGATTCATATATTTGGCCTTTAGTTCCATTTTAAATGTGATAGTTAATGGTATTACTGTCTAGTTGAACCTATAATCTATTGATTGAAATCCAAATGCTTCAACCACAATGCTATCGCACCATCATACCACTAATTGATTACAATGTATTTTCGCTAACAGTCTCCATAAACTTTACTTTACTTATAATTATTGGCATTATTTTCCTCTATTCTATAGCCTATGCCAAATACAGATTACAATTTAAGTAAAACAAAAACGGAATCTGACAGTTCCAACTCCAACTCCGAGCATAGTGATTCATCCTATGATATTGATGATGGTAAAACAGTAACACATGTATCTAAGTCAAAAGTCAAGCAGAAAAGTAAAAAAGAGAAAATAAAAAAACATGAAAACAAGAATGATGTGAATAGTAAGAATGAAGAATCGAACAAACCTACGCTAAACACTGATGAAAGCGATGAAAGTGATTTTGATTTGGAAGCTGCTTTAATGGATGAAGATGATAAAAGTGTTAATAATTGTGATCTAGATGAATTATCAGATTTTGAATTAGAAGGTGTCTCCACCGATGAGTACAGTGATGAAGAGAATGAATTATTAAATGATGTTAATAATGACCCAAAGAATTTCAATGAAAATTCTGATATTGAAATGATTGATTTATCAAAATCTTTAAAGATTTCTAAAAAACAACAAAAAGTAAAGAAAACAAAAAAGAAAACTAACAACGATGTAGTACCTAAACAACTAATGAAAAAATTTGCCAACAGTACTGGAAAACTGAAAAAAAAATCAAACGTCATCAATAAAACTTCAATTAAATCAATAAAATTGACTAAAAACAAGAAGGTTGAGACAAAATAGAATTTAACTATCGATAAATTATTTTCATTTTTTGATAATTGTACATAGAAAAAATGTTTTGATCAACTCCGCCTTTTGATATCCCATATCAACTTGGGTTTATGTATCGAGACAATTATTAGTGATCAAATCACAATAGATTTTTTGTAGTTTCATTACTTGAAGTCGTTTGAAATGAGATCCTGTTTAAACTATATTCCATGCCTTATCGGTAGATATCACTTTATACCAAAATCTGCGGTATGGCAACTTGGACCGATGCATATACGTGCCTGGTCCTACGTTGCAGCTGACTGACTGAAAATCTGAGATATCGCACAATAATCTATTTGATCAAAACGGGCTCTAGTATACTAATTTATCAATCTATCATATCCTGTATTTTTATTTCATTAGACTGTATTCAATATCATTAAGATTATAAATATGTATACTTGAGGTTATTTTTGTCGATATTTACTCAAGATGATAGAGAATATTTATAGCTTAGAAGAATTTTGAAAGCGTTTTTTTTTCTGTGCTGAATAGTTTAGTTACGAAGTTTCATATTGTCTTCCTAGACAAGATCACCACACACTTCAAATAGCTCACTTCTTAAAGTTACTGTTGATAATGTTGTGTAGAAAGGCATTGAAAAATTCACGACTAAACGGCTTATGGTAATTGGTCCAGCCATCTATAACAAACTTTATTATTCAAATACAAGTTAGGACAGAGATATTGTGGTTGCTGACAATAAACATCGAAGAGAATTTACATTATTCAGATATCGATTCTCAAACTGCTAACGTCTAATTGGCGATTAATCAATATTTATCTTCAGGATCGATCAAGAAATAAGAAATGAGAACTTGTTGAAATATTTTACGCTGAGAATTCTATATTGTACCAAAGATATAATATTGAATAAAGCTTGTAATAATAAAAGTAATAAAATAAGGCGTCCCGGTTAGATTCAATGATTGTCACAGTCCACGCAACTTACAAGAAACAAACGGAAACTTTCAATCTTTCTTGATGTTCTACCGAAAAACAAATGCAGATGATCCATTATGAGCATTTATATGCAAAACACCAACATAGGGCGATCAATAAATGACTTTTTAAAGCTGAGCTTCACAAAGTAGAAATAAAAAACTTATTCACTTTGAGGGCTAGACAAGTATATTCCGAAGTAATAATAAACAACGAACTGCTACAATTTCCACAGATAATCATTAAAAATAGCTATCTGTTCTGGTTCATGCAGACGAACATGGAGCATAAACCCTAACCTGTGATTGACGAGTACAAATTGGTAGTGTGATGACAAGTGTACTCGTTTTGGTAAAAAATAATAAAGCCTTGAATCAATGTTTCATAATTGGGAATAAGTCAATGATTAGAAAAATATAGACATTAAAATAACATTCACAGAAAGATTATAACATTGCGTAACAAGAAGAAAGTGTTCAGATAGTTGAACCATGAAACGTATGATTGAGAAGAGAAAATGATGGGAGGGGGCGAACAAACAGTATGGAAAATAGTAAGAAATTAAATAATTTACTAAGGCCAAGAGAGAGATAAAGGTGTTGTCAATTTCTTATGAACACAAAGACTTGAATTGTTGGCTCGAATTCCTATAGCTTCTGCTATGTGTAAGAGACGAGGTCGGACTAGTGTTATTATTCTTATCACAACTAGTACACCTGTCACTATACTATTAATTTGTACTTTTCGCTTATTATGTACTCAGAAACTGTCTTGATTGGTCTAACGATATCGCATATGCATATAAATATTACTGTATATTAGAGTAAAGCCTGATGAGGATCTAATCGAAAACAATATTGTTCGCTTATATACGTTGTTCCAAATCAAAATCATTCTGTCAAAATGTCGGATAAACGACTACAGAAGGGGTTATCGACTCGTCACTTTTTTGGAATACAAACATCGTTTAAATTTTGAGCGTTGGGCTTAAAACAGTTGTTTTTCATTTACTCTTCAATGACTCAAACGTGGGCTCAAGCAACGATACGATCCGCATAAATAAATAGTAATATCCAAGACATGTATGGGTAGAACGAGCGATTCTCACGACACCTTAAATGTGTGCTACACAAACTCTCATAGTCTTAGAAATAAAACATCTGAGCTAAGCTTCATGGCAGATGAATTATAATTGTTGTCACAGAGACGTAGCTCATTATACATGTAGACCGTTCTCTAATTATGTAGAATACATCTGTATTAGAAATGATAGTTATAAATCGCGAGGAGGCATAATATCATATGTTGGGAATCACTCGTGTTCAATCGAGCACATCTGAGGCGCATGATAGTGGTATATGTGAGGTATACCTCACATAGCTATAGCTTGTCGTACAATTAAATCTAGGCATGGGTTAGTAACTATTAGAGGAGTGTACTGTAGTCCATGTCTTCCTGAGGAGTTTGACATTAGTTATATCTGTTCTTGAAGTAAGGCCAACCGTTGTCTCATCGTTGGAGATTTCAAACGCGACGCATATCAACTGCATAGAGTTTACAACTTCAAGTGCATATTTTGTTAGCAGCCTGCTGTTAACCATTATTCGGTGTGCACTTGTGCAATCTTTCGCAAAACCGACACAGTGACTTCGAACACGAACCGCAATTGCTGGACCTTGTCTTTACACACCACTGTGATGACGTTATTGATAACTATTACCTCCCCCAAACTTGCAGTGATCACGTTGCACTGTACCTTAATTTTTGGACACAGTATATATCCGCTCCGCCCTGTCCCAATATCTGAAGTGCTAATATTCTGGCAATCAGAGACTGTGTTCTCCAAAAGGACTGGCCGGTCTATGCGGATGGGTCAATCGAAGACATTCGAGTCCACATTACCATTCACCCCATGGTCAACACGTCGACTACCACATTGCCCCCCCCCCAGGGATCAATTAGGAAACTCGAAGCTGCGGAGGCATAAGAAACACTTCTGGGAATTACCCTCGACAATATATCAAAAATCATTTAAGTGTGAATACCGAAAGATCCAATCATGAATATAACGGACTCCCACTGTCATTCATATGTAAAAGGAACATAGCTAGATGCTACCACTTATGAAAGACAGTTGGCATACTATAGACATACCTGCCTGAAACGATATTGTTCGTAAACTAAACGAAGAAAACGTAGTAATTGCATTCCTCAATTATTGTTGGAAGAAAGCTGATATACTAGCCGAACCAGATATGGTAAAGCTGAGACTTTATCAAACTATTACAGCAGAGCCCACCTTACAAGTAGTGTTAACAATACTTGTTATAACCACATCACTGAGACACCAGCAATGAGACCCGTACACGCCATTGAGGATGCTGTTCTCTAATTGGTCATTAGTCTCAGACCAGCTTCTGACGGGTTACGTCCACGATTGCAGCAATCCCACGCAGATATTATTTCAGGACCACACACAATGCTGATCAATATATTTCGTCCGCACACTCAACCCCTTAGGGATTGGAGTTTATTGTGGAGCAGACTGTCAATACCTATCCGAAAATGTGACATTATCGCCAAGTTCAAAAGTCTAATTACCCTGTTTCTAGACTCTAAGGAGCTTCACCAACTATTCCCGGAACTGCCCCCTCCAACCGTGATGGATCACCTAATATCTAGACCGATCATGAATATAACGGACTACAAATGTCACTCATATATGACAAAACAAGTAGTATAGCACGTGGTTTCCCTTCTCCCATTATTCATTACTAGTCATGCCCTTATGCTACTCCGCTTCACACTTCGAATCTCTCTAATGGTCAAAGTGAGCAGTGTAAAGTAAAAACGAGTATTAACAAGTAGTCTTGAGTATCTCTTGCGAGATTGTAGTTATCACTTAGTTCGTGTGTGGGCTGGGCTACTCCCTGTGTGCCCAAACCGAAGCAGGCGGTTTTCTGATAGGGTCACTTTCAGAGCCTTTGACCCAGAGGTCTAATCCACAACAGAATGAAACAACGCCAGAAGATCCAGTCCCATGGTAGCTAGTGACAAATAGTAGGTTCTCACATACCCTGGTACGGCCGAGAGTGGGGAGAGTCCGCTCACTATCTCGAAATGCTCTCACATGGCCACGCGTATATAGCCCCTGCCAGCGAAGTCCTACTCACTGCCTTCTCGTCGCATTACTGTTGTTTATGAAATTGAGAGGACGAAAAGCGACTGACCGGAGCTCACAGAATGTTATGTCATTTAGTATTTGGTGTTGAATATTTTATTATATGTAATAGAAATTATAATTTTCCCTGTACATATATGACTGGCATACAATAATGCAACATAGTGTAAGAATTAATTTACACAGTAATAAACTCTCAGAAAATTAGGATTGTCAAAGCAGAAAAAAATTATGATCACTTGACGAATGTACTCATCGAGAAATTACAAACTGGAAGCATGATATTTTCCCCGCACAGCAAGTTGACAAATGCCAATAAAACCTCCTGAATTCCTGCCGAGATTTCTTCAAACATCAGACCGTCAGTGCTGATGAGACGCCCAAGATAAGTGAGGTGGTCGATACGTCCAACTACTTCACTCCCTACGACTAACTCAGGCTCTGACGCAGGTCAATCCTGAAGCAACATTTTGGATTCGGAGGGTTAGAATCACATATGAAACATGTTTGCGTTGTTACTTGGTGTGGTCAGAAGACTGCATTGTGTCAGCATCAAACAGAACTATATTATCGATGTATTCCAAGTCAACAAGTGAATCTCCCGATAGGAAAACTGCTGAAAAGGTAAACAATCAAAGTGTTACTTCTGAAAACATGTCAATGACAAATTGGATAGAAATGGGAGGATCAGACGACCCTGGTAGACACTGTTTGAAGTTATTGATTCCGGTGATAGTTCTTCAAAGCTGACTCAACTAAAAATCTTCGAGAAGAGAGTCTGTACAATGTTAATGTACTTCTTTGGGATGTCTTTCAATGATAGACACCGCCACGGAACCTCACG